TATGATTTTCAGTGGATTATTTGAAATACTGCATGTCTTAATATATTTATGTCTATCTCCTCTGGGTCCTTGGGATGCAGTGTGTCCTGGTTGTTCTGAGACTAGATTCTTTCTGATTGTCTATTTTACATGATTTCCGAAACTCTCAGCATCACAAGACTTCAGATCTGCAAAGCTGACCTTGCTCTTTCCTTAGACAGTTTAAGATTTGGAAAAAGTAATGCTTTAGAATATTTCAATATGATTTCACCTCTTAGGATAAGTCTTCCCTGAGCATGTACAGGTGGGATTGATAGTTGTTTCTATAAATCCATATAGAACCTCATAAGAGCATATCACTGCATTCATTGTTTTGGATGGATCACAGAGGTTATTTCCATAACATCTTCTCCCACATCACTATGAACTTTTCATGTCTAATTCTTAATACTCACTCAATGATTTTTGGTGTGTTCTTGGTACTCAAGTAAGGGAGGAGTGAGATCTATTCCTTACACTTATGCATGTAGGACACCCTTGAGACAGATTGCCAGATATTTTTTCTGAGAGAGAGAGAGAGAGAGGCCTTTGTGATGTGCTATCCTGTGTTTGTGAGAGGCCTGTGTACAAGGCCTGTGTTTAGGAAATAAGGCCTCTGTGTATGTAAGTTTCACAGGCTGTCATAGCCACAGTAACACTCATCTGGAGACAATGACTTACCTTTGTGGTAGAAGTGAGGCCAGAACTCAGTGCTTTTTACTGCCTGACTAGTATCCACATGATAAGATGACAGAATTGAGTAAAAAAAACTGTGTTCTTGGTTCATCATTCCTTTCTTCAGTCTGGAGGTCTTCTACATTTCAGTCTCTGTCTTGAGAATGAGAAGTAATCTGAAAAGACCCCTTACTTTGTGGATACTAGAGGTGAACAGGGAATGAGAAAACATCAATTAAATCATCACAAGGTGTAACATTCCAAATCCTGATATCTAAGAATTATTGAGGGTTTAGGGTTTGTCAGACACTAGCTGAGGAGTGTCTGTATCTGGAACTCTTTATACTCAAAAACAGTTTTGGGCATCAGGAATCGTTGCCCTTTTTTTATAGAGAATGCAAGGCATAGAAAGATAAAGTCACTTGGCTGATACTACGTGGCAGGTGAGCAGTCACTTACCAACACTCTGATCATAGTTTAGTCTATTTCTATAATCAGAACATCAAATCTCACTTGTGAAATTTTGGAAATAGGACCAGGTTCACTGTCAGGACTTAATCATAATTGTTGAATCTTAATGGTTTTGGGACTCAGGAATAGGAAAATATTATTTCTGCTCCTAGCACTTGCCCAGGGTTATTGATTGACATTTACCCCTAGAGGCTTCCTGCATGAATGTGAAAAACTTGATTGAAGTCTCTTCCTTAAGGTTCAGGAAAGTATTCAAAATACAGCCTGGCAATTGCACTCAACTTTTCATGGCCGTAATTGAGTTGTCTCCATGTGCTCCCTCCACTAGGAGACTGGTCCAGAAAGTGATGAGAAAGCATACTGTAGACACAGGAGCCCAGTCAGACAGCACATTTTAGAAAATAGAAAGTGATGAAATTGTGGAAAGATCCCAAGGAGACAGATGTCCACAGAAGGCAGCACCGTTCATAAAGATACAGAGTCTGGGCAGATGGGTACTGGGATACCTCAGACACAGATCAAATCCTGTAACTCCTCTTCCCCTAACCCTGTGACTTGGTGATGTGATCATTAGCCATCCACCCCCATCACTGCTCCTGCGTGAGGACTGGCACAGGTATTGTGTGAGTGCCAAACACTGCAGGATGAATGCTCATGAGGGTGGATGTTTCCTTACATCCTCAGGTTTCAAGTCTTTCTTGGTGATGAGAAATATCATGTGGTGACAGTTGAGGCAGGGGCTTTCTATTGTCTGCTAGAATGGTGACTACATGGCCAGAATTACTACAGGGTCCTCCAGAATCAATAATAGAGAGAATCTGACCCAAGACTTCCTTTCTAGCTCTGGAATAAATTGTTACTTACCACTTGAACTTCAGAGTCTTGAGAAGGGCCACTAAAGAGTCATCACACCTGTCTCTGCTCCTAATGTGGCTCACCATTGTGTTTCTTATTGCATTTCTTCTCTCCCATCCCCTCAACTTCTAAGACCCTTACCAGTCTGTCACACTGATGACATCGTAGTCAGTGTGACCACCATGCCCTCCTGTCCCAATTTTGTCTATCAATGATTATTTGGAGCCTACTGTTCTGTTGTTCTGTCGCTACTCCAATAAAATATACACTTCACACAGCTCACAGGAGTATTAGCACTCAGTGCCTTTTTTATTCTTGCAGTGACTGAATAGGCTTGAATAAATGAATTAGGAGCACCATGTATAAGGCAAGTTCCTAATTTAGCATTTCTTCCTCACAACCTCTCTTTGAAGTAAGCTTTTATGAGTTTGCTTCTAAGATTTTTATGGCAGAGGATTTTGGTTAAGTGTGTCACACTGAGTACTTAAGGTTTCAATCCGGTGGACTGAAGTCACTATGATCAGACTGGACAGCATATAAATCACAGTTCTTCATTTCCTTCTCTTGTGTAAAGTTGTCTTCCTCTTCTCACACTGCTGAGACACAGAATGTAAAAATCATGCGCATGAATAAAAATATATTTCTAATCTGAATCACATTAATGAGTAAGACGCAAAAATACTTAAAGAAACACTTGGTATAAGTGAAATAAGATATACAGGAAAATATAAGATTCTGACCATATAATTTTGGAAAGCTTTATTTTAAGAAGTTAGGCAGGTTCAACATGTTAGATATGTTAGTATTGAAACACCTTGCTGAAGTCACTGTGACAGGATTCTTAGTTTTATTAGTTTAACTTAGGGACTGATCATGCTTACAGGAAATATCCAGGGACATGGAGGATCTGAGAGAGAAGGACTGTGGAATGAATCATCTAGAAAAGCAGGCAGTAACAGTCATGGTAGAGTAGGAAGCCCAGGAGACAAGGAAAGACCCCCTTGCCAAGAAAGGGCTACAGTCATAATTGAAGACACCATCAAATTTCTACATGCATTGGCTGTCATCTGCAGGATCAGATTTATCTGCTCATGAATACATACTTATCATCAGCATTATTTATTTCCTTATGGCACATGACTGAGAGATCCAGCTTCTCTGTGTCACTTGTCATCTAACCTCAGTTCCTAGGGTATATTTGTACTTCCCACTCATACCACAGTACACAGTCCAGCAAGGGAATTTCCCTCAAGTCTTTCAAGTGGTTCCTCATGTCAAAGGCCATAACAATAGGAGTGTCTGTATATCAGCTTTGCCATCCTTAATCATCTAGACTCAGTGCTAATCTAAGGGTGAGGGAAATGCAGGGCATAACACAGTGTGCATAAGTCAGAGGCCACCTTAAAATTCTGCCTACTGTGCCCACTCTTCTATGAAAAACTTTACTCATGATGCAAAAATATCCCAATATCTCAAACTATTGGAAAAGTGGTTTAAAAGGTGAAGAGTTTGAAAGAGGGGGGAATATAGACCCTTTTCCTATGCCAAAATGCTCTACTTGGGCACCATACTCATTTTGAGCTGGATAATAGTTGGGGCACAGGCCAGTGCTGTTTTTAGGAGGATGACAGCTATCCACTGGAAGGCAGTGAAGCCCATTATGTGACAGCTGGAAATGTCTCCAGACAGTTTTCAGAATTCTGGGACGTCAAACTTACCCAGCTGAGAATCGTGTTTCTACATCTTGTTAGTGCACATAGGGGAGGGCATTCTTTCCAGTAGTGAAGAGTTATGGTGCTGATTGGTAGGCATTGTTTGTTTTTTCTTATAACTTATGACATTGAGTGAATTCTTTCTAAAGTCATTGGAATTATGATACACCTGCCTACATTCACATTGGCTGCCAGTATTATATCATTTGCACTTTCAAGGTTGTGAATTAGTGTGGGAGTCCTATTTAATGTAAAAGGATGATGGATGGCATCAGTTCCCCTTTGGTCTCTTCACTTTTTCACAACTCTATAAGAGAGCTGAAATGTTCTTGCACTAAGACACTCAGCACCTATCACCCTTATGTATGAGGGCCCTACTTTCCTATGTATTTCTCTCTCCTTTGATCCTTGATCTCCCTTTGTTTGCCACAAAGTTTGAGATATTTCCCTCTGTTTCCTGTTAATTTTCTTGTTAAAAACAATCATGGGTGTTCAAAAACTATCTTGTACTGTAGTTTGATGGTAAATATTTTGCTGTGCTCTGTCGCTCCCCCTCTTCGTGGAGGAACGACACAGGACCCTGCGCTGTTCTTTTGTCTGCTCGGCCCTCCCCGGGTTTGCTGCTGGTTCTTCCCGGGTTGGCTACCGTCCCTTCCACCTCCGTGGAAGGGCGGTTCCCCCTAGCCACTTTCCCCACTTCCGCGTGGGAGCGGCACACCGCTCTCTCAGGGGCTGCACAGGTGTTCCTCTTAGATGTTCCTGGTGCATGTTGTCTCTCTCCTCCTTTATAGTCCTCTTCCACCAATCCCAACTCAGCTGCCCACACGCCGAGTACACTGCTCTCCTCCAATCAGGAGCAGGTCCTACAGTTTGTCAAGTTGGTGAGAGGCAGCTGTGTAGAAGCTGTTTTCTCCTCTCCCAGCGCCATATTGTGGGAGAGCAGATGCATAGAATAAGTCTTAATTCCAGTAACTTAGTCTAGTCTGAGTTGCTCCCCACAGTGCTCATAGATAAAATAGGTCATCTTTTACAAGCTTCAAACTTACAAACTTCTGTGTTAACCCAAAGGTAGATGGTAAAAAATATATCCCAGGAAAAAATTAGGTCTAAAGAAAAGTCAACATCAATGCTTGCTGTTAATCAGAGATAACTGACTAGTTTAATATGTAGAACACAGGAAGATGCCCCTGAGTCTATCTTAGTCAGCTTCCTTCATCTGAAGTACTTAGAGAATGGATTTGTACTTTGTTTCCTTTCTTCTCTTTGTAGGTTCTCCATGGATTAAATCATCAACAGTGACAGGATTTCTTCTGTCTCCATTGTGGTGTATAATTATAGACTATAATACTGTATATACTCAATAGTAGACCACCTCAGCTATCTACTCTCAGGATGAAGTTGGAAGATGTCTGACAGTGGCCTGAACACACTTATTTGTCTTAGAGACAACCTCAAGTATTAGACTGTTGAACAGGTACTGTTGGCCTAGGATACTTGTTGACTAAAAAAAAAAAAATGGGGTTAAGTTAATTTTAAAATCTAGATAAACATCTGGTGTGAAATTGCTTTGTATCATGTCAGACTTATTTTGTAATTTCTTTCTTTTACAGATCCAACTGGCTGTAAATAATAATGGATAATCTGATCTCTAATCTTATAGTCTAGATGTGTTTTACAAATTAAGAGCTTTTAATTCAAACCTATAAAAATATGGTGCTTTACTTTAAGACTGCTTGCCCTCAGTACTTCCTGAGAGTAATAAATCATTCTTTGAGTTATGTCACTGATTTCTAATTATATTTAAAATTACAATTTATGAACATACAAGATTTATGAACATGCAAGATAAACATCCAAAATAATTGTAAGAACATGAATGACTATATAATGGAAAGTCATCTGGAAATAAGCACTGCTATTTGGTCTTATTTATTTCACATTCCTCCTCAGCACTCCATGAATAATCAACTGGAAATGCTGAGGAAGAAGTCATACAGACAGTTTTGGTTTTGACATTGATTTCCATACTTAAGAAAAAGCATGGAAATGTTAAAGGAAATTTCACATGCCTGTGGGTTGGCATGGGGAGGATGGAACACTTTTGAGAGATTAAAAAAAGTAGCCATGCATATTTTCATGAATAAATTATTTATCAAATTTTTCCAAACTGTGTTTTAAATATATCATTTTATTGGCTCAAATTCATATCAGAAATACTTGTTCATTTTTAGCCAGAAACTCCATAGGTGTTATAGAACACAAAAGTACACACACTATGACTTACCCTTTTGTCTTAGCGTTTCAATCTCCCAGGAATGAAAGTTGCTTTAGGTTTCACATTGATCAAAATAATTCTGAAGATTTCAAATACCCTCCAACTTCACAACTCTGACTTAATCTGCTTCTCTGTGGAGCATTGTCTCTGCTATGAATCCCCACTGGCTTCATTCTAGTAGTCTCTAAGCCAAATTCCAAATTGAGTGAGGTTTGTGGGTGATATTACAGAATCGACTCTTCTTACAACTCACTCTTCTGTGATAAGAATAACTATAGTGAGATTCCAAGATGGTGAATTTGGGACCAACACACTGTGATAGGCTACAGATGAACAGGAAGAAAAAGGATAGGGAGTACACTCTCAGGATAGAATAGGAGAGAAAACTGCACTGGAAATCCTACAACAGGAAAAGGAATGTCATGGACCTGTGTGGAAGGTGCAGCCATGCAGTAAGAACACCAGCACAAGCACAACTGAAGCAGCCAAGAGCTGGAGCAGGAGGCAGCTTGGAGACAGAGGTGAGGCTGGGCTGAAGCAACCCATGGTGATATAGCCAGAGGGAGTCACAGTGTGAGTCTGGACTGGAGCTCTGGAGGCCAGCAGTTGCTACAGGTTGTCCACGAACCCAGTGGAAGGACAAGGGGCATGTTTAATTCACCTCAACTTCCCCATAAAAGCTCCTGCTGCTTGGATGAGAAGGAGTGAGCATCATTTTGGATTAGAGCAGGAGCTGCAGAAGAATTTGTGCACATGCACAGCAACTGGCTGAGCAGGACTCCCTGTTTTTTGCAGTACTGGCAGTAATGGTAAGGAGATAGCAACATTTGGCCAGTGACTTCTATGTATGCATGTGATCCAGTGACTCTAGCAAAGAGAATACTAGGCAGTCCCCACTGACTTTGAGCCTGACAGGGAGGTAGGCGGTCAACCTCAGAGGACCATAAAGCACCCACAGACTCCCAGGAGCAAGACACCTAGGCAGAACTGTCTCAGGGAACATTTGCCACTCTATTGACTGGACAGCCTGGTAGGGCAGAGAAACCTGTGCACTTGGAGTCTGTTGGGGCCTTTTGTACTGAGACTGTAGAGACTTGGTGGATACATGAAAAGATACAGGGTATAGTGGGGCCTGTGGGCAATCACTGGTTGCAGCTCCACATGCTTGGATTTCCTTGGTTACTAATAACAGGTCTTTGCTGCAGAAAATGTGCTCACAGTGAAGACTGTGCAGAACACTTGTGGGGTTTATAGTGGTTCAGAACACACCCAGGCATTGAGATCTACTATAACCACCTGTGTGTTACTCTGGAAAATTACCCCACACCTAAGCACTGACCAGAGCTCCGTGGCCATACCAACCATATACCTCTGGGTGTTTACTAAAAGTGCAGGCATTACATTAAGTCATAGATTCATAGCTCAAAGAAAAAAAAAACTCTACCATGAAAAGAAAAAAACTCCACAAATTTATTCATTGTATTTAACTAAATACAAATGAAGAAATTCAAGAAACAATAATAAAGAAGACCCTGTGAGAACACAACTATGTTTCAATATTTAAATGCTTGGATGAAGAGATTGATGAAATTCTGGAAATAGAATTAAAAAGTAAACATAGGTTATTCTTAAGCAACCAGAAGCAAATCCACAAACTTAAGAAAACCATACATGGTATGAATGAAAATTTTCCTATGAAACTGATATGTTAAAGAGAAATCACAATGAAATATTAGAAATGAAAAATTCAATAGACCAAATAAAATATGTGGTGGAAAGCCATAACAGCAGACTTGGCATGGAAGAAGAAGGAATATTGTCCTAGAAAACAAAACTTTGGAAATCATTCAATTAGATCAAAGAAGAAGAAAAAGAAGAAATTAGAAAACTTAAAAACAGTGTTAGAGATTTATGGGATACTATCAAATAACACAACATACAGGTATTAGAGTTCTTGAAGGTGTAGAAAGAGAGAATGGATTAGAAGCCCCATTTAGTAAAATAATTAGAGAAAACTTCACTAATTTGGAGAAAGAAAGGAACACTCATGTAGATGAAGTATATAGATCTCCTAACAGATATTACCAGAAAAGATATTCACCATAAAGACCATAAAATGTGCATGAGAGAAATCCAGATTACTTTCAGAGGATCCAGTTAGACTCACAGCTGACTTCTCATCAGAAACACAAGCTAGGAGAGAATGGCAGCATATATCCCAAATCTTAAGAGAGAAAAAAAAAAACTGTCAAGCCAGAATCCTGTAGCCTGCTATGTAGTCATTTATGAGTGAAGGTGAAAGAAACACCTTTCATAACAAACATAAATTGAAAGAATTTGTCACTTCTCATCCAGCTTTACATAAGTTGCTTAGGGATGTGTTATGCACAGAAACACAGAAAGATAGCCATCAATATGAAAGAATGTAAAGTTTGATAATCCTCCAGTAAACATATGAAAAGAAATCCAAAGTAAGCACTAGGAATATTTACTGGAAAATGGCAGAGCCAAGTTGTTAAATATCAATAGTCACATTGAATGCAAATGGCCTCAACTATCCAGTTAAAAAATACAGGCTGGCTGAATGGATTAAAACATATGACCATCTATTTGCTACCTATAAGAAAAACATCTCACTACCAAAGAGACATACCAACTGAAAGTAAAATACTGGAAAAAATTTTCCATGCCAATGGAAAGTAAAAAAAGTCAGGTGTTTTCATCCTAATATCAGACAAAATAGATTTTAACACAAAAAATTGTAACAGATGAAGAAGGGCTTTATATAATGATTAAGGAATCAATTCAACAGGAAGATGTGACTAAAATAAATGTATTGACAACTAATTATAAGGTGCTTAGCTATTCAAAAGAAATGTTAATGGATATAAAAGGATACATAGACTACAATACAATAGTAAGGGGGATATCAGTATCCAACATTTATCAATAGATCAAATAGACAAAAAAATCAGTACAGAAACATAGGTAATAGACCAAAAATGGACCAAAAGGACCTAACAGATATGTACAGAACATTTCACCCTACAGTTGAAGAATGCACATCTTTCTCATCAGCGCATGGAACTTTCTCTAGGCTAGACCATATGCTAAGTCCATAAAATAAGTCTCAACAAATTAAAAAAATGTTGAAACACAACATACATCTTCTCTAGCCACAATGCAATGAAGCTGGAAAACAACAACTCGGGAATCTCTAGATCATATGCAAACACATGGGACTGAAAACATGTTCCTGAAAGAACAGTGGTTCATAGACTAAATCAAAAGTGAAATCAAAAATTTTCTGGGAACAAATGAAGGTGACAATACATCATATCAACATTTATGGGATTCAATAAAAGCAGTGTTAAGAGCAAAGTATAGCAATTGTTGCCTACATGAATAAATTGGTAAGGAAACAAATAGATGAGCTATTAATGTATATCAAGGACCTAAAAAAAATGACAAACCAAACCTCAAATTAGTAGGAAGAAATACATAATTAAAATTAGAGAAGAAATAAAACTCAAAGCAAAAACCAACACAAAAGATCAGTGAAATGAAGAGCTTATTTTTTGCAAATAAGCAAATTGATACATCATTGGGCCAACTAACAAAAAAAGGGGGAAGAAGACACAATTCAATAAATTTAGAGATGAAAATAGAAATATAACAGACACCACAGAAATAAAAAGAATCATGAGGAATTACTAGAACAAGCTGTGAGCCAAAAAATTGGAAAACTAGAAAAAATGGAGAGATTCCTAGACACAAATAATCTACCAAAATTTAGTCATGAAGGCATAGAATATCTAAACAGATTGATAACCAACAGAGAATGAATCAGTAAGTAAGACCTTTCCAACAAAGAAAAGCCTAGGACCTAATGGCATCACTTCTGAATTCTACCAGACATTTAAAGAACTAATAGTATTCTTCTCAAGCTACTCAGAAAAATTGAAAGGGAGGAAATCCTCCCAAACTCCTTAAATGAAATGTTAATCATTTACTTTCTAAGTCAGAAAAATGATACAATAAAGAGAACTATAAACAAATATCCCTGATGAACATAGGTGTAAAACTCCTCAACAAAATATTAGCTACTCGAATCCAGCAAAACGTCAGGCATATAATTCACCTGGATCAAGTGGGATTTATTTTTAGTATTTAGGAATGGTTCAACATTCACAAATCAATGGTTGTGATACATTACATGAACGAACTGAAGAACAAAACCAATATGATTATCTCAATAGATGCAGAAAAGCATTTAATAAAATACAACATCCTTTCCTGAGGAAAACCTTAAACAAATTGGGTATAGGAGGAATGTTCCTCAACATTATCAAGGCAATTTATGACAAACCAATGGTCAACATCCTACTGAATGGTGAAAAGCTGAATGCATTCCCTCTAAGATTTAGATCCAGACAAGGAAGCCTACTCTCATCATTGCTAGTTAATATAGTCCTGGAAGGTTTAGCCAGAGCCATTAGGCAAGAAAAAGCAATCAAAAGGATATAAATTGGAAAAGAAGGAATCAAACTATCCCTATTTGCAGATGACATAATCCTATATATAGGGAATCTGAAAGACTCTACTAAGAGACTGTTTGAACTCCTAAAAGAGTTTGGTAAAGTGTCAGAATATAAAATGATCACAGAAAAATCAATAGCCTTTGTATACACAGACAATGCCACAGCTGAGAAAGAACTTTCAAGATCAGTCCCATTAACATTAGCTCCAAAAATAATTAAATATCTTGGGATAAATTTAAGAAAGAAGTCCAACCAAGTTCTCTATGATGAAAATTACAAAAGCACTAAAGAAAGAAAGAAATAAAAAAACAACATTTAAAAATGAAAAAAAAAACTTCCATGTTCATGACTTGGGAGAAGCAACATCATCAAATGTTCATACTTCTGAAAGCAAATTACAGATTCAATACATTTCCTGAGACTATTGTGGTTACTAGGCAACAGAATCTGTCCTTTCCAGTTTGTGCCACACAAAACCAGCCATAGGAGAGTCACTATAGCATGCCAGATCTTAAAACCAAA